AGTTTCACTGTAATTATGGTTAGAATATTTGCTGCTGTTACTCCAGCTAGAAAATTGTTACTAACTCTCTGCTAGAAGTGAGAACCTTGGCATAGAGTAAATGTTGCCAAGCTGGGCTCATGGTTTCCCTTGCCAACACTATCATATAGTGTAAATGGCTCTTCTACTCCCTGATTTTATAGATATATTTATAGACAGCAACTGGATCCCTTAACAGCCTTTATTTGCTAGGCTAAAGAAGCCAAGCTCTTCATTCTCTCTCCTCATATGATAGGTTCCCTATTCCCTAATCACCATAGATGTCCATCTTTGTACCTGAACAAGTCTGAGGTAATGTGCTACAAATGACAAAGTGCAACAGTCTTGTATAATAGCATAATAAAAGAATCCAGATCAAACAGAATAATAATTTCAAGCTTGCGAGGATGTGCAGTGCCAAATAGTTAGGAGATTAAATAAAGGTTTTGAAGTCTTCTAAGTGGATCTTTATTACAAAGAATGTTTCGGGTTTTTCTGTCCTGTTTTGTTTTGCTTTGTTTTATTTTTATTTTTGTTTTTGTTTTTTCCTTTTTCTCTAAGCAGCTGATTGAAATTGCAGTATCAAAGATTTTAGGGCTTTAATTGAAAGCTGGGAAATCAATGAAAATCATGATTTGGATCAAAGTTTCAGCCAGCAGAGTATACAGTTGATTACAGTGTTGACAGTAATCACTGAAGGAAGGAAAGATGTTGAAAGTTTATTTGACAGTAATAAATGAGAAAAATCCGGTTAATATTATCTAGAATATGATAAATCTTTCCCAGAAAAGCCACAGTTGCATTCACATGTTGTGTTTAAGAAATTTCAGTGGCAGGAGGTTCCTTGGAGTGAGTGCTGTGGACTGTAGTCCTTGTTGACATGAGACGCTGGAACGCAAAGAGCGTGGGGACACCTGAACCTACCACCTCCAGGGACAGTATAGAAAAGTATATTTGATCACATCCAGTATCCACTGGTGTCTTGTTCTATTGCTTTTTGGAAATGTTCAAGGAGCTCCCAACTCCCAACTGCTAAGGCTGTGACAGCTATCTTATCTTTTTTCTTTGTTTAGTATTAAATCCGTACTGAATCAATGGTTTCATAAAGTCAGATGAGAAGTTTCATACTGAAACTGCTGAGCCTGCTTTGAAAGAGCTTGGAGCCACCGTCACTGTGGTGTAGGAGGCTACTGTTAGTTTGAAGGAGAGGCTTTTCTTCCACAAAATCTTTTTTTTTTTTTTCTCCCATAGGAATTAACACAGTAGTTTCCTTCTAGCTTTTCCCTGCCTGTAGAACAAGGGAAAAAAAAGGTCTTTCACAGTGCATTGTAGGAAAACTCAGTTTAAGCTGTACACACATGCTAAGATGAGTGAAAATGAAATGCTCCTGAACACACAAGCAATTTCTTAATCGGGAACACAGGAGATTACCAACCACAGCTAGAAGTAATTCAATACACAATTAAGTAAATGTGTGCTGGGTACAACATGGGTGGTTTCTCCCTGAGGACCAAGGCTGGGAGTGGTGGCACTGGGCATCTCCTTGGGGATTTGGACAGGCTGAGGCCAGGCTGTCCTTGGTGTGGGGAGCTGGATCCAGCCCTGCTGTGTCCTCGCTGGGATAGGGGCTGACAGCCCCAGGGTTGACATGGCGTCCTGGGCTCTTAGGACCCTGGCAATAAACTGAATGGAACTGAAATTGTGGAGAAAAATTCTGAGAGTAACTGGGTAAAATGAAGGCATAGAACTCATACAAGTGTCCACATATGAGACAAAATGTCACCAGTATGATCAAATAGATATTGGTAAGAAGGGAAATTTCATCAAAGATCTTGTTAGAATGTTTTAGCTAACATACCAAAGATGTCAGCTTTCTTCATGCTAAATTTGGTTCTCCAGTCAATGGTGTAATGTGCTCCACCAGGGAGCAAGGGGTCTATAAATGAAATTGAAGAGCTGAGTGAGAGAGTTTCTCCAAAACAGATCTACAGAGAACCAGTAACTTCACAGTACTGCATTGAGAACAATAAACAAAAATTAACCTACTTATATTAATTCATTTAAACTGTAATTTTTACAGACCTCATGTTTTGATGTCATACACTAATGCACTTAGTGTATGCAATTAGTACCCTACATGACGGGTATATAAAATCAGAGAAGGGGCAGAGTAGTTCAAGAGGCATCCTGCTGTGCAAGAGGTGGGATGTTTTTGCAGCCCTGTTAGGTGAAAGGTACTAGTGGAGCAGCAAAGCTTCTGCTTTGGTCAGTTCAGTGGGTAGTTAGGAGCAGTTTTGATGTGTTTGTGTGATCATTGTGAGTGAAATCTTTCCTAAGCAGTGGGAAAACTGCACAGGTGACAGAGCGCTGGCATGTGCTGCCTAGAGAGGCTGTGGAATTTCCTCTTGGAGAGTCCTGGGCACCCTGCTCTGGGTATCTTTGCTTGAGCAAAGATTGGGCTGCATGACTTCCAGAGGTCCCAGCTGACCTCCACCACTGTGATTTTGTGATTCAATGAAATACCAGATTTATTCAAGTCTGTGGCAGAATCCCATAGACTTTTCATTAACAGTTTTGTGTAACACAGAGTATTTTCATTGAAAGATGGTGATATTTAGCTTGTTTCTTTTACTCACTGTATTTATTTGGCATCACTTAGTTAAGATGGAGAATAAGTCATGTACAACCATAAATGTTATCTCAAGATATTTTAAAGTTTAATTAAGAAAAGCATTTTCCAGAGTAGTTTTAAACACCTACCTTATCCCGGTGTTTGGTAAGATCTGAGAGGATCTGAATGATTTAAGTTCTAACTGTTCTGACCCTCCTTGGGAAGATTTGGGAGTAGCTACTACATCATAAGATGACTATATATTGTGGAGGCAAAATACTCCAACGGGCCTATTTTTAAACTATGTCTCCTGTGAACAAGGACTTTAAAAATGATGAAACAAGCCACTTTTTTATTATTATTATTCAGTATATCTAATTTTTATCTCATTTAGGTTGATGAAAATTCAGATTTTGTAATCTCAGGAGAGTCAAGTTGTGAGAAGTCAGAGTTTGACCCAGTAGATATGGCAATTTTAATAAGTGAGAGCTGATTGACAGAAAACTGTTCTTTATTTCTTATAATTTGTGAATTGCACTGAAAACTAAGATCTTCATTATGAGAGCATGGCTCACTTTATCGTCTCTAGATCGTTGCATGCTGACTTTTAAAGACAATACTCTTGCTGTTTCCTCTTTTTGAATTAATTAGAAAATTCTCACTCTTTTGATAGACAAACTATTTGTAGGGAAAAAAAATTAATTATTTTATCTATGTTATTTATGTGTCTCATGCAAATTATCTCCAAATTACCTCTTATAAACAGTCGTGTCAGGTGTGTCAGAGCTTGTGATTTTAATGAGATAACCTGAATCCTTATGCTTATAGGAAAAGTTGTCTATGATAAAGAAATAAGTAATTGATCAACTTTCACCTTGAACTAGATGTCCAAGACTGAAGTCTCTGAAACAGATTTTCAAGAAAATATGTTTATCAGTGAAATATCTCTGTAGCCAAGTTTAAGAGGTTTACATCACTGTAAACTGACTGCAGTTAGTTGAGACTTATTTATTGTGTCTGTCCTTGCATCATTCATAATCCACTTAGTGGTGTTTTGTCAATTTAGAATGGGGACAAAAGTCATCTGCAAATGCCAAGCTGGTACTTGCTGCTTTGCAAGAATTCACATACCGCTTGTTTATAAATTATGAGGAAAAGTGCCATGTACTGCTCTGTGCATAACTACATTGTTATTAGGAGAATGCTGTGATTTAAAAAGCAGTCTGTAGGGGTGAACAGAATGGTTACCTTTTTCTTTAAAAAGATGACAGCTTTGAGAACATCGTGTTCTCCTTGACCAAATGTTTTGCCAAAGGAAGGAGCTCCATCCTCTCAGTGCCCGAAGCTCTCTGGCACCACAGCCCTTCCAGGGAGCCTTCACAGGCACCACACTGCTCAGATCCACCTGGCTCTGCTCTTCCCATGCTATCACTGAAGTTGCTTTAGCCTACTAAGCATTGCTTATTAAATAACTGCACTGCATGTTTGAGAAAGTTGGGGCAATATTCAGGGAGGGTGAAAAATGGATTCAGATTCTGCATGCTTACACAAACTAATCAAATCACAAATGAACTTTTTTTCAACCTGAAACCTGAGATTTTTCCTTCCTCTGGTGTTATGACTTTGTTCCCTTTGTACCCTCCAATATTCTAATTCTCCTCACGTCTGCTACACTTCCTTGGTTTTTGTAGTTGACACCATGCTCCCAGTCTTTATTTGCCTTGCAAGCTCTGCAAGAAACTGGTTTGCAGCTTCTGCTGTGCTGCTGATTGCCCAGCTTGGCCAACCAACAGGGTCATGCATTCCCTATGAGCAGCTAGAAATATGCAAACAATGTGCAGTGGGACTACAGGATGGGCTGAGAAAGATGGGTTACTTCTCTGTGGTTTATTTTATCTTTGCATTAAATTGAGTTGTGTCTATTCTGCAGAACTAGTCCACTCAGTGACGAACTCAGCACATTATCTACCAGTTTTTTTCTTCACTTGTTAAAGTTGTTCTCTTTTGGATGGAGAGTTTTACTTGACATTGATTGCTAAATTAAAGCAGAGAGCTTCAGTTTGTGGCACCAGTTCTCAGGTGGCAGCAGGAGATTTCATTGCCTCGATTGGTATTACTATATAGTATTGCCAAATGCATTGTCCAGATTCTTCATGTTGCTGTGCACTGGCTTTGGAAGACACACTGATAAAGTCAAAGGGAATCTTTAAGGTAAACAAACAAACAAAAAAACATATATGTTTTTAAACCATTTTAAATCTGGAAGCCCATGTTTTCCAGCTGGCCAGCTGGCTAGGAGGCTGAACAAGCGTAAGATGCTCTTCTCCGTTTTGTCATTGTGTGCAGTCCCTGAGCCTTATCTTTCCTCCAGGGAGCAGCAGGGATTCCAGTCAGCCCCAGGTGGGAGCAGCAGAGTGATGGCACAGGGACAACTCCATCCTCGACCCATTCCTCCCCCGTGCAGAACTAGATTCTAGCAAAGCCCCTGCCCTGGAAGCATCCCTCAACACAGGTACTGCTGTACACCAGGGGCTGAATGGCTGCCACCTGGAGCACCATTTCTAAATTAGTTACCTTTAAGAGTTGCTGTTTCAGTAGCATGGCTGGAAAGCACATCTTGAGTTTCCTGCAGGTGTCAGTTCCAGGAGGTGAACAAAATGACTTGCTGCCTTTCAGAGGCTCATCTGAATTTCAGGGCTGCCAAAGCCCTCAGGATTATTATTTGAGTTATTTTCCCTGAAACTTCCAGGTATTATGAGACAATAATGAGCGCTTTGCATTCAGGAGTTATCGAAACGATGAACTCTTCAGCAGGAACCGCAGACTCCAATGACTACATTGGGTGTCTCATATTGTTTGGGATTTTGCCTCTTACAAAAGCCCTGTTGCTAGAACCACGTTAGTAATACAGTAAACTCTATTTCCAGTTTTAAAATGTTTCACGGTGCTGGAACATACCTTGAAATTTTGAACTCAGTTCAAAAAGTGGTTTTATAAAAATCTCACAACTTTAAGCCCAATATCATTTCATATTATGAAATATCTGACTTATTTGGAAAGTTTGGGATTGTCTATTATAATTATGGCCCAAGAAGATCTATCTTAACAGGCTGAAAGCAACTCCATTTGTAGTCAAGGATTGCACACACAATATTCCTGGAACTGCAAATTGTACATTGTGCAATTTTTATGGCTTGTATAGCCTTTCTATTTTTAGTTGGTTGAAACCTGCAGTAAATTGTATAATCCTCCTTATACTGTCACTCATAATGCTAACTTCCATTAACTTAACATAAATAAGTTTATTTCTTGAATTTACCTAGTTACTATTTTACCTAATAACATTACACAAAGAAAAGTTTATTTTTCTCTGGTACAAAGTTGATGTGAATACAAACAGTTAATGATGTGTTTCTAGTTAACAGATTTTTATTTTTTTTTAAGTCAGATTAAAAGCCCACAGTATCTTCTTTTTTATTTGAAAATGTGCATGTATTATGAGGTCCGATAACTATTCCATTACTTAAACAAGCCACTGAATCCTCCATCTTTTTAGGAATCTGGAAAAATTTCTGTGAGGTTTGGGAAAGCCAAATAAAATGCTGCTTTTCAGCTTTTTGGAAGATACAATGGGAAGAACAATTCTGTTGTGAGTTGGGTTTCTTTTTCTAGAAATTCTCCTTTGGGTTTCTCCTTTCTAGAAATACCTCTTCAAGGTACAAGAGATGATTAAGTGACAGGAATGCGTATGGACCTCTCCAGCTTTGTTGTTGTTTACTACATAGGGATGGCAGCCAACTATGTAATTGGCTACCTGTAGAAGTTAAGTGCCAAGTACACAGCATTACTTCATACTGCAGCTGTGCTGAGTGCAGGGAAGATGTGTGTGCTGCTGACACACCAGTCTGGGGCATAATGCTCAACTCTGGGTTCTGACAAGATTTTTATTTTCTAGTCTTTCCCATTACTCTAATTATAATTCTTTAGCCGTCTCAGGCCAATCATGTGACAAGCTCCCAGCTATACAGAGACTCTAAATATGCTAATTTCACCTCAGGTCAGTTTTATAGTCCCAGAGCCAAGTGGAAAGCCGATGGTTAATTGTTTTTAGTATTTATACTCTTTGACATACACTCAATGTTGTTGTACGGAATGAATTTAAAATACATAGTAGGATATCAGATTTTGAAATTAACTTTGATTAAATGAGTTACAGAACTTAATGTGGAGGGCAGTAATATTTTGGGGTTTTGGCTGAGTTTAATGGCTTCTCTAAGAAAGTAATGTACAAATGCTAAAAGACTGCAGATAAAAGTAAGGGTAATTGAATAGAAATGAACATGAATTGATACATTTAATTTGGCTTCCTAGCTGATAAGTATTTTAACAATAAGTGAATGTATTCCTCAAATTGCATTTTGTTTAGCAGAGTCTTTCAGGTTTAAGGTATACAATATTCTCAATTATTCAGTCAAGAAATACATGTATTTTGTAACTCAAAGACTTTGTCCTGACTTTTCTGAAATCCTTCCGAAGTGCTCCCAGCAGCACATTCAGCAGAGGCTCAGCTGCTCTGAGCATGCTCTCCTGGAGAGCTGAGCTCACCACTCAGGTCCCTGTGCTGTGGTCTAACTCAGCTGGGCAGGTCTGAAAAAAACATCCACCCCTTCTGAAAGCAGATACAGATAAGGAAAAGCTGTTATCGGTAGGCTGTGCAGGGAAGGAGGTTGTACTGCAAGCTCATCCTGATATTTGCATGAGGGATAGAAACCTGAGTAAGGTTTTTTCTCACTGAGAATAAATTGGGGAGTGGCAAAAAATGAGCACATGAGGTTATGTCTTATTTCTTAAGATAGCTGAAAGAATAAGATTAAAAAAAAAAAAAAAAAAAAAAAAAAAAAAGCATGGCAAGAGGCGAATTTCCATCCTCAACGGAGGAAAACAGGTTAATCTTCTTTTTCCCAAACCATAGGTGAGAAACTTAAAAGCATTAATTATATTAATTATATTGATAATGATATTATTAAAAGCATTAATAATATCATTTTGAGCAGTTCAGGTAGAGAAGGAAAGATTAAGCTTTTGATCATAACAATCATTTATGCCTAGGAAAACTGGCATTAAGCTCTTGTTTAAGCTGCACAGTCTTTCTCCACATGATCAATAGCATATCAGATTTCATCTAATGTCCTTACTGCTTTTTAAGATCTATTCCCATCCTTACCAACAATTTGGGAAAGAGAGGATATTTTATTCAAAGTTGTCCCAATGCATTTGCGAATAGCCGGCAGCGTCAGCCTTCCTCATGTGCTGCTGGTTTGTCATCCTGGTTCACCCACCCTCTGGCCATTGCAAATCTCTGTCTTTCCAAGCACCCCGCATGCAGTGTGGGCTAGGGGCTGGCTCCCTCCCCATGAGCCAGCAGCTACTGCCAGCATCACCCACAGCAACTCCTTGCCAAGGCCACAGGTCCACCACACGACATAGGGGAGAAGCAACCCAAAGTAATTTCTCAGTCACCTATGCTTCCGTGAAGGCAGATGAAAAATACTTAAGTAAACAAATAAGTAATGCTGAGACATTACATAAGTGCTGGGGAAAATATTTTCTCAGACAGTTTTTCAGTAACTGAAGAGAAACAGTGATTTCTCTGTACACTGCTTTCTTATGTGGCTTCTTGCCTCATTTACAAATTAGATCTGTGTACGCCTCCCCTCAGCTTTTTTTTGTTACGAAAAACATTTTGTTCTTTTTATGAAAGGTCAAATTAATCTTTAATATTTGGAAGCACCAACTCCCTTCAGCAATGCTCAGCACCAAATTGCTCTTCTGCCATACACTTCATAGGAAACAGGTATTTGAAATTTCGTTTTTCACACCATCATTAACAAAAATGAGTCTCTGATGTATTTCACTTGCTCTAACTGAAAAAAAAAAAAAAAATCAAACAATATCTAACATAGATCCATTGCTTATTGCTGTTTCTGAAATTGTTACCTCATGGAAACAAGCACAAGCCACCATTACCATGAAATTGGCAGGGTTGCTTATGACAGGGATTGTGAGGGAGCAGAGGAGCACATCCCACCGCCTCCATCCTATTCTAACTCTTACCACCAAGCAGGCTCTATGCCAGGTGCAGATAATGAGGTTCCAGGCACCTGCTGCTGCCGCTCCACCCAGCAGCAAAACCAGCCTGCATGATATTGCATTTATACATCCAGCTCTGGTCTATCAGCCAGCCCCAAATGAGGGGCACAGACTTTTTAAAGACTCTATCTGAGGTGCAAAGTGGAGATGTCCCAGAGCTTTCCAGGTGCAGGATGCAGCACTGTCCTACAGGCAGGCCTTCTCACAAGGAGGCTGTAGTTCCACTGCTCTCTGCACAGCACATTTTTTTCAATGGAAAGAAAGTCAGGAAATGCATTCTCTGATAGACAGGAGCCATGGCAAGCTTCAGCAGTGGTCAGTGAGGCTGTGTGACTGAGCTGGAGACCAGTCCTGATGTCTTGACATAGCCTCAGAGAGCTCAGACTCCATTTCAGAGACATTGCAGATTGCAGATGAAACCTAAACTCCTAAGCCTGTCACACAAATGAGATACTTAAAGCTGAGCATTGTGAGTTTGTGCCAGTGCAAACGATTTTATCTTCAGGCAGGCTTGTAAAACACCCACTTCATTTGTAGTTGCTCCTTCTAATATATTTTCATGGCTCTGAACTGAAATTACTTTCTAAGAAAAGCAGCTAAGATGTTTTTACTCTAAACTAGTGGAAAAGAAAGAAAATTCAATCCTTTTTTCCTTTTTTTTAAATTTTTCTAGTTACAGTGAGGTAAATGCAATTCATTTAATTTTATTCTCATTGAAATTGCATTTTAAGAAGTTCAGAGGTTCTGGCAAGCCAAGGAATTTTGGTTTTGTTACTGTGAGACCAGACAGGGATATTTATTTGCCTCTTCCTCTCTTTTCCTCTGCTACTGAAGGCAGCTCTACTGTGTTTCCAGTTAAGCCTGACTTTTTATGGTGAACTAAAAAGCCAGATGAAAATTTGAGCAGATTAACACTGAGAAGATTGTCAAAAAGATCAAACTGAGCTTAAACTGTAGATGCAGCATAACTGTTTAACTTCATTCTTTTAAAGTGAAGAAAAAAAAATTGTCTGGGGATTCTGAAGCCAAGAAATTAGGAGAGCCACCTAAAAATGGTTTCCACACAGGAAAACCATTGAAGAAAATGTGATCACTATCAATGCCCAGGTGAAGTGTCTCAAGGTTTTTGTGCTGCTCCCTGTCAGCATTGGTATTGTTTAAATCATTCAGATTGACATTTACTTCTTTACTTTTTTTTTTTTTTTTCACCACGTGTTAAGTCAGTGGAAAGCTTGCAGGAATACAGGGAAATAATGACAGTCAGTGGGCTGGCACTGCCAGGAATGAAGTAAGACTCTCCTTTCGTTTCACCTCTGTACAAATGGTAATGACAACTGAAAGCCAGGGCCTTCAGTAATGCAA